CAACCCTCCACCCTCCCTCCAAGATCTCACTACCTCTGTAAATATCCGGGACGTAAAAATTACGCACTGTGGGAATATTTTCCCCCTGGGCATGAATCATAGACGCGAATTATGATATTCCTAGATCGTGCACTGACATGGCCGACACTATTTTACCCTTTAAAGATTTCTCTGCAAAGCGTACGCACCACGTACACCGAAACAAAGGGGAAAACACTCAGCTTCCTTAGAATCACAAAGTTTTATCTGACATGGCCGTTTTGAGCTGCTAAGACCACTTGGTCAGAAACCAAATGCTGTATCTGCTCTATTGAAATCGTAAGATTATTCGGGGTTGTTATCAGAATATCCAAAGAATTGCATTTGAAAAATCTCCGACATGTTGTGAAACTCAAAGATTTTGACGTCGCGTTTCTCAAAACTAGGCACTGAGCAGATAAGCTTAGAACTTTGTAATTCTAGGGTAGTGAGTCAAGTCTACCTATACTTCAGTTCCTGCAGGATCTTTCCCCCATCAGCTTTCAATTGGCTTCAAATTGAGTCAAAAGGTGATGCGCTATCCAAGGTTATTGTGAAATAAATCTGTGATATGACTGTATTTTATTAGCAATATTAAACGAGACACTAACGTGATCAGGATACATGCTGTGGTTTGTTTCTTTTTTTTTTTCTTTTTCTTTCTTTTTCTTAAACTCGAACCTATGGGACAATATATTACTTGTACGAGCGTAGTATTATAAAACAATCAAAGATATACATGTCCCTAAAAATAACGCATTAAGTCCAATCAAAATATAAGATTGCGTGTACTATACAACACCATATAACCCTACAGTCTACATGTTTTTATTTCTTTTGTATATCTTAAAGATGAGAGAAAATAAAATGAGAGCGTGGGAATTAAAACGAAGCGTAACGTTGGAACTAGGCCCTTGTTTGATTTCTGCTGAGCGATGTTGCTGACACGAAAAGTCATCAACGTGTAAAATTGGCTCACTCAAGCCGATCGTGACAGCTATTCGAATAGTCTCTCAAATATTCGGTGAACTGGTTGAAATAAAACAAATCAAATCTAACTTGTTTGAGTATTTACTTAATTTGAGATAATGGTAGAGCCCGTCCCTTTTGCTAGAAAATGAAAGAACGAAAGGTTCTTGCTTAGAATGTTAATTTTTGTTTTAATTGTTACTATTCTACAAGGTGACCGTTGTTTGTACGGTTAGACGCTTCACTTTCGCACGCAAATTACCTGAGTTCGAATCCCATTTTGGGAGAAAATTGACCCGAAAATCTTGGTTATTCTGCTGGGATATTTTTACAACTCTCTGCCCGGATTGGTCCTGACAGACTGGAACGAATCCCACCGTCTAAATGGTCAAAAGTGCACCGATTGCAGTATAAAACACCTACATTAAAAGAAAGCAACAAAAAACAACAACAACAACAACAACAACAACAACAACAACAACAACAACAACAACAACACGTTATACCAAGGTACTCCTCTGTTTGAAAAACACACTAAAACCTCTTCAAAAGCGGAGTGGAGACAACGATATTATCTTTATCGCACGTTCGGTTCTGTCTTCGGGCAGTGTGGTGCTTTGTATAAGTTTACCAATAGTAAGGAGAGGAATATCATTCGGTAGCTACAAGACCACATGTATGTGCCATCATTCGTATCTGTTCCTTGTGTCCATTATTATTATTTCCCTTATTTGTCAATCGTATTCATCTGCTTTATTTCTGTTCCGTTTCTGTCCCAGTCGTGCATCGTC